AAACTTGAAAGATAAACGAGGAAGCTAAAGCTCGAGCCGCCAAGAGATCCAAGTCTGAGTTCGTGTAAGGGACCACCACACGTTAGGCGAATGACGTCACCAACCCAACAACCACGGCGGCCTTTCCAAATTTGCCGGATGCGAGGGCCACGCGTATAAAGCGATTTATCTACGAAACTATCGCGCCATTTTCAAAACAAATTTAGAAGAAATGTAGGAACACACACTGGGACGTAGTAGTATAGTTATATCTCATATTTTATTTTTGGCGTGTCCGATGCCCTGTAACATGTGGACCTTCGGCGTCAAACAGGGTTGCCCATCTTGCGAACATTGCGCGTTTGGTTTCGATGTCGTCAGATTTCCATGACCAAAGTTGACAACCGGTATCTCGAACTACGTGCCCGATCAAGGATTTTTAGAAACGGTTTTCCTTCAACATTGATTTCTCCCATTTCTTCATTATAAACCTTTATAAACCCCAAAAAAAAGTGTAAGTAAAAAGTAATAAGTAATAATTTCATTTTCGTTAATTAACCATCCTTTAGTTGTATTCTCTCTTGAACATATATTGTCCGCCCGCCCGTAAAACTCACTTGTAAAGATAGCATTTTGTAGCTTTCACAGCGTTTTTTTCAAAAAAAAAAATTGTATGTGATAAAAATACCCTGCACTCACACTTTTCGCACTTTCTGGATATGTTTTCAGCAGTACTTCCACCGACTCATCAATGCACCTCGGTATACCATCCACTTGGGCTTAAGCAGCAATGTAGTGAATGTTGGACAACGTGTCAACCCGTTGTTGATCGGGAGGAGTGGAACAGTTTTGACCGTTTTCAGGCACCTTGTTTATCCCTTCGGGAATGGATTCACCCAACAACAGAGTGAACGACTCACTTTCCGACTGTTTTGAGGTAGGACGTCAGTATTTCAGATGAGGAACGTAGGACCCCACAAAAATTACGTCAACTGGCTTGCTAGAATGAATGACCTTTGCATTTAATTGCATTCTAATTATGGCTTGCTAGGTTCAAGAAAGTTAGGTACTTGGAACACTGACCATCGTAGGGGCTTCTACAGCCGGCCAGATCGCTGTAGCAGGACCGATAGAACCGACTTGTCGACACATCTCAGACCGCAGAATCTTGCACATCCTTTTGGGCCAAAGATCAAAGAGCGTGTTGGTGAAAATACAAGAGTCAAAGAAGGAATAAGAACACTTAGGGCCAAGGACAGACAGCACAGTTCTTTCTGAACTGTGCTGTCTGTCCTTGTCCCTAAGTGTTTTTATCCTCTCTTTGACTCTTGCCTTTTGGGCCATTGCCTAGATGGTCTTGCTAATCCAAACAGGGTACTGGCATCTTGTGAAACCAGATTATGTCTGATAGCGAAGGAATATAATATCGCTTTGCACATAGAGAGGGTGATGAAATTGGAATAAAAAAATATAGGGTTCACCGAGGAAACGCACGAAAAAGTGTTCAATGTGGAAGAAACTGAATTAAAATTAATTACTGGGCTGGGTGGTTAGACATCATCTTACAGTATAGCAAGAGGAAAAGAACATGAAAGGGACAGTGACCACAAATATGTTTCTTTGTTCTCCGAAACCAAAGTACTAAAGCGTTTTTATAACCGAATGACTAGAGAGCATTATCAGGCAAAAACCAACAAGGCTCAGGGTGACAAGTGCATCAGCAATCCATCAGTGCACTGACTGGGAAAGAGCAAACGAAAACCTACAAGGCCCTCTTTATTTCCTTTCTTCGTATTTTGTTTTATTTTTATCGGTCTTTATCTTTCTGTGACATTTGTTTTTAGTTTTTTTATATTACTTACATTTTAATAATTTCATGATTAAATCTAGTAAATGTTTTATCATTATTCAGCTATCAGCAAAATTACACTTTTTTTTCCGTAATTTTTAATTATCACATTACACACTTCCTTCTCGTCTTTCTATATATAATACTTGTTGTGAGTAACTAGCTATTGTCCTGTCCGATTTTTTTATGTCCTCTTGTGGCATTGTATATATGACGAATTCTGCCACCCGCTTCAGGTCGCGCGTATACCACTGAAGATTCAGTTGCGAATGTCTGCGAAGTGTGCCGACGGTTCGAATATTTCCACACGGAAGTTGTATATTTGTGCGTCTACACATCTGTACGGTTTGAAGAAGCCTGCATATCGGACGACATTGACAGCATTGTCCGCAATATGGCAACAAAATGGACACTGCTGGTTGTATATAAGGCTGCGGCATCCCAAGAAAGCCAGCTGTTTAGAAGGAAAAGTCACTAGAAATTTCTGAAAAACATGGGGATTGCAGCAGTAGAGAATCTTGAACGAGGAACCACTTGAAACCCGAGAAATTCGCCAGGCACTTTTTATATACCGTAATTATTTTAATGTACTGTACGCTAGTGGATGAACTGGCGCTAGTGTTCTGTCGCAAATTAAAGCAGACAGCAACCAGTGGAAAACGGACTTCTGTTAATGAATTTATATTGAAAAAAAAAAACGATTGCATTTTCCTCCTGCGCTCGATCATAAGAGTAAATAATACGAATACTTCGTGCGTTTCTCTGTGACGCAGACAAAATATTTTGGTCAGTTGTGGCGTTTTCCTTCAAATTCATGGCATTAAAAACGGTGCTAAAACGGTTTATTACGTATATCTAAGTGCACGGTCGGACATTGTTAGCGCAAACACGGCGTCGGCGCTCCCCAACATGGTAGACTGCTTGTCAAACGAACGGAGGACATGAGGAAAACCAAGAGAGACGATAAGAACTACGCCGTAACACTTGATCAGTAACTCGTTGTGCATGCAGACGATCGAAAAAACAATTGAAGGCCACATCATATAGTCCGACTTGCAGCAAATAAGAACTGCTTTATTTATTATTTTTTTTTTGCTTATGAATATGTAGGAAAATGTTTCTCAGTTGAAAACGTCACCCGCACGCTTTGAAATCTTTAAAAATAGGCTGAAACCTGAGAACATGTGCCCGATCAAAGCTGTCCGCAATGGGAAATAATGAAATGCACACCGATCATTACCCATATACTTGATTGTTTACGTTTTGCATGTTCCTAAATGCTCGTAAAAATGCACGACGGAGTAAATTTTTTATAGTGGCAGACGTGCATATCAGCAATATATAAGCGCCACCGGAATGCTGGTGCGCCTTGATTACACTCTACATTCCTTCCGGTTTTTTTCTGCTTTACATTGTTGTTTGTTTTATATACCTTCATGAAAGAGATTTTGGCCTTAAATATAGCGAAGTTTATTATCATTCACTGGTAAAGAAATATAATGCAACCAAAGCAATTACACTTTTGCAATGTCAATAAAGGTAGATACTATTCGGTACGGACCCCCAAAAAAGGGAACAGTATTATTTTCCTGCGAGCAGACAAAACGTACGCGCGTTTTCGCGAGGGAATGCACAGGAGCACCGCAAAAGTGGGCTGGGTTGCTGTCTGCTTTCATTGGGATCCCGGAAGTCGCATAAACCCTAGCGCAAGTTGAACTTCTAGAGCACATTATAATTACTCTATGGTATATAGATTGTGTTTCTGTGAAATCCTTCGAAAATCCCTAAATATATGCTCTTTGAGTTAAAAAGAATCTTTTTACGGGAACGAGCTACCTGCCTTGGTGGACGTCAAAGATTGCAAAAATATACAAATTAGATAAGTAAATAACTAAAATTTACTAATATTTCTTCATAATTAGTGGAAAAAAAACATGCTTCGACTGAGAAACTTGTTTAGCATAACGGAAAACAACTAAAGCAATTATTTTTTAGAAAGATTTAAGGCAGTGGCAGCAACGTTCACGGCGTACTGAAAAAAAAACAAAACACGTTTAGTTCGGACGGTTTTATCGTTTTGTCGTCTTATCGGAGCTCAAGTTCGATAAGCTCTTATCGGAGCAAGCTAACCTAGATTCTCAGAGGGAGAATATGTTTGTTTTCACTAATTCAAAAATTAATTAGTAAACTGTAGTTAATTATCTTGCTAATTGTTATGTTTTTGGAACCTTTGAAGTCCACCAAGGCTCGTAGTTGGTTCCCGCAAAGTGTTTCGTTTCTTCTCGAACAGCATGTTTTTAGGAATCTTTGAAAGCTTTCACAGAAACGCAGTGTATACCGTAACAATGAAAAATACTTCCCTGTTGTGAATACCCGGGCGCATCCTTTTGACCTCTCATTCGGAAAAAGCAATGTGCCAGTTTTAGCGAGAAAACAAAGAACAAATATCATTCCCGTGCAGGGGGAGAGGGGGAGGGGGGAGAGGGGGAGGGGGGAATTCACGTCGCCCCCCCTCCCCTCACCAACACACACACACAAATCTTTCCCCCAAAAGGAAATCTTGCTTACGTTGCTGCAATACCCTATGTGATGGCGTGAGAAAATAAAGCCTAGAAAATAAAGAAGCAACACAAGTAAATCATAGATAAAAGAAAAAAAAAAAAGAAGAAAACTCCAAGAGTTCCCGAAATATTCGGCGTAACAAACACTCGATGATGTGTGGGTTAGAATGCGATAAACTTTATTTGTATTGATGAAAGTCGTTTAAGTAAATTATGCAATTTCCCCCCTTTTTTTTTCAATCAGGATTTTCCACCGCCCTGGCTCTAATATTTGACGTGTAATTGGTGCAGTTCAGTTCAGTTCATCAAACGTGTTTTGTTGGGAGGGTTCAACTGGCGACATGCTCTAAGGTAGTGCGGACGTGGATTTTCGGGATAATAGGACGAGGGTTGGAGTTGCAGCTACGAGTCCGAGGCTGGTCGTCTTCCCGCAGCTCCGACGCTGGCCGCGCGCCGCATCCGGGGCGCCCCGCAAGCCGTGTCCACGGCTTCAACGGCACCGCGCTCGTCGTCGCCAGCGGCGGCCGATTCGGTCGCCGCATCGCCCCGAGAACGCGGCCTGCCTCCGCTGCGGGGCGCGTCGGCGCGCAAGCAGCGGCGGCGCCAGCAGCGCCTCCTCGAGCCGGAGCCCGGTCCTCCTCCTCCGACGGTGCGCGTCGTCGACGTCGTCGCATCCGGACGATCCCCGGCGCCGCAGTCCTGGCGACGGCAGAGCAGATTCCACCGGCGCTGCGTGGCTGACGACGCCGTGTCCCCGCCGTCTCCGTCGCCGCAGCCTCCGCCGTCGCGCCGCGGCCTCCTACTGCTGCCGCGCCTCGGCACGGTGTTGCTCGGAGCTCCCACGCTCGGCGGATCAGGTGAGGCGCTGGCCGTTGCGGGAATGCAACAAGAACCAATGCCTGGGGTGTCGGGCATGGTCACTGAAAGGGCGAGAACGGCATTGCGTCTCTTTCGGGCGATCATCTCCGGGCGCGAGTGCGTTGCCTTCCTTTGTGCTTCGGATGACGGTGCCAGCTCGAAGCTCTGGCAGGAGGCGCCGAGGTGTTATCGAGCTGGAGGCGGGGCAACTCGAGGTACTGCCGTTCTAGTCCTGGCTGTGACTACAATGAGCTGGCCGAGTCGAGAGACAGTACACGGAATGAGGAAAATGGCTTAAACGGCCCATCGAATGCAGGAAAAATGACATGTAAGATACGTTGACTCGCACCTAATATGCATTAAACGAAAAGGAAGATCCCGAGAAACTACGAGTGAGCGCTCGTGTGCTTTTTACGCGTTAAATTGTTTTATGTGAATTCCACCTCGGGCGTTGTCTTCTTTTAATTTTTTGCCCCTCCATACGTCCAAGGGCCTGGGGGACGCGCTGTAGTTCAGCAACAGTGTCTTTTTGGGCTCCCGCATTTTAAAGGGAAAAGCGGACGATGAATTACGGATCTCAGCTTTTCTGACCCGCCCGAGATTTGGAGCAAATTAATATCGGGGTGCTGGGCAGGCTAAAAAATTGACCGCATCTCCACATGGTGAATAATGTTGATTGGCGCGAAGCTCTGGCGGTGCCTGTCTCCGTAGACGCTGAGCCGCAGCACGCCGAGCCTTTCGTTCGTTTCAGGGATGGGCAAAATACATGCAAATATGCATCGAAATACAAATACAAAATAATTCGTCAAAAACGTATTTAATTACAAATCTAATTACATTTCCAAAAAACATTTAAGCAGAAAATACAAATACAACCAAATGTATTTGGTCTCCTTCAAATATTTTTCCAAATACATTCCTCAAAATTTGCGTCGGCGACTTCAGGGCACCTGCAACAGGTTTCTGGGTATCTCATTTTAATTTTGCATCGCAAACTCGGGAGTTAGTGCGCCAGGCTTTAGTAACGTAATAGAAATATAATCACAAAAAATGTAATCAGCTTGGACGTAATAGGTGAAAGAAGTACAGATCTTCAAGCAGCTTTTACATTTTGGTATAAACCAAGAAAGAACTGAGACGACGAAAATGCGCAGCACTAGCTAGAGAATTTTTTATTGTTGCAACTCGCACCAGTTACGAAAATCTGGACGATCCGCGCATTTAGAATGTTCCGGGCAAAAATATGGATGGAAATCAGGCTGGAAACCATCACAAGTTGTCACAGGCACTTATTTAGCCAGTCTGCGTGTGAACGTCGATTTCGTTACTATTCTTGCCCTGGACTAGCACCGTAGTCACAAAGTCACTAAACGCTTGTGCTTGATTGAGAAACACTGCATTTGGTACAGAACGCAGTTTTCTTCCTGCTCTGGACAGTGACAATAAATTTGAGAGATGTATTTTCGTCCACAAAATTGTATTTAATTACAATTCTATTTGAAATACCCACGTTTTAGTATTTAAATACACACGTCAAATACATTACCCAATTTGTAATTAAATACAAATGCAAAATACGCAAAGCATTTGAAATACGTATTTTAAATACTTGTATTTGAAATACTGCCCATCCGTGGTTCGTTTTCATCCATGTCAGAAAGAGAATGTGTAGCATGGAACGTGGTTATATTCGCATTTGAGCATTTGACCGCAGCGCCCTCTCGTCTATAAACGTTGAGCCAATCCATGCAAAGTTTAAAGCGATTATATACCCATTTGACTGCAGCGCCCTCTTCCTATATAGACGTTGAGCGGCTACATACAACGTTTCATCCATGACATCCCCAACTCTTGAGTTACTACCACAGCTCAGAGCCCCCTACTCGTCCCTCAGTCGTGGCCGAGTGGTTGAGGCGATGGACTAGAAATCCATTGGGGTCTCCCCGCACAGGTTTAAATCCTGTCGACTGCGCAAACATTTTTTTTTCATTATTTTTCTTTTATTTTTTGCTCTGCACAAGCACGTGAGCTCTCGAGCACGTGCGCCAGTAAGATCGATCTGAGCACGGACGCCGGACGGACGAGGCTAGACCCTAAGGAGCTTCGGCCCTAGAACTAGATGTTTTACGTCCTTAAGGGTGTGTTCCGGGGCAAACACCCTAAGCGGGCACGTGTCACCAGCATCCTGAAATGGGGTACCGGTGATCCTAGCAGCATCCTAGATACGATAGATTTGTTCGGCGACTAACAAGTTGGCGAGCAGAGCGCATCACGCACAGTTGTCACATGCGCGAGAGAACAAACAGGGAAGCGACGAGCAACGCACGAGACAGAAATCACGACAGCCACTTCTCATATACGCAACAAGTGAAATAAGCTCATTCGTAGGTGAGCGCCTCCGCAATTACGAAGCTCTTTGTCGCTAATACTTCGCAATCCTCGGGGCGTAAGAAGGAATACGTCTGCTGGGTACAAAGCCCTATATTGGGAAAAATTACTTCGTGTATAGTCGCTGAACTAACTTCCGCTAAAGCCGGTTTAAGCAGTCTTAATTTCTTCTACACCCTTTTCGCACTCTATAGAAAATTAAATGACGTGGTGTTTTCTTCGCAGGATCGCTGTCGTTGGTATTCGTAAAAGACGCGTTAGCTTATTATAATGGTGCTTAAAGTGCGTAGCAGCAGGTGTACGTCTTTGAAATGCCGAACATGTTCTCAGGCGCTCACACGTTGCAAACCCGGTTGCAGCCCGAAGAGTGCTTCGTTTAAGGGCTGCTCGTTGTCTCGATCGGACCCTGGCGGCGGCTGCGGTAAGCGGAACTCGCGGCGGCCAGCGAAAGACACTCTGGGCGTTTCTTTCCGAGCCAGGCGTATTCTATTATTCCCGCAAAGACCAAGTACAAGGCTTCCGAACATCGAGGCACTATTTCTTCGGCCACTTTCGCGTTTATCTCTAGAAGACAACGCAAGGACAAATGCGGACGCGTGAGCAGCAACGAAATGCTGTCGCGAGGACCCCTGGGACAAGTTCGCTCAAAGTACGCGAGGTTGCAACAACGTCGCTGAAAAGCGGGCGTGAGCCATTCGCGGTTCTAGTCACATCGTTGGAAGCGGTATTCGCACGGGACAGTTAGCCCGAGTAATGGGGAAGAAATGATCTGTCGACCGTTAAAGGCCGGAATGTTCGTGGTGTAAATGGACGATACAAAGGCGCTGGAACCTCGCAATCGACCATTTTGAGAAATGGACGGTTCGAGAGGTTTTTGTCTAATAATTCGCGTGAGCGAAACAGGAATGCGCGCGATAACCTTACCCGAACAGATGACCCCATGGAACGAGCGTTCAGGTATTGACAGCGCGTCTCCCGCCAACTGCATCTGAAAGTTGCGATTCAGGAAATGGCGGATTGGCACGCGCAGCTGTCGGCCTGCAAACGCACGTGGTTGAGAGTTCTATAGTGTCCTTTATAGCTCGGCGTAACTCGCGCCTGCCGAGTTCTGGTCACTGCTTGCCCAGATAAGGCGCTTAGAGCATGGGCCCTCTATTACCCGATCTGGGTGCCGATATAATAATAATAATAATAATAATAATAAATTTATTCAGTAGTGCAGGTATAGCCAGTTGAGTGTCGGGTCCGATCAAAGGCATCCGGGACTTGTAAGACCAGACCCTTCGCTGGAAAATACAAAAAAGGAAGTTCGCACGGAATAACATTACGCGCAGGAAAAAAAGCAAATAACATGACAGGATGTAGTCGGAATGTTTGTGTCAATGATTTGGGTGAAGCTGTGAAGATGAAACTATAGCAAACGTTGTCTTGATCATTGTGTCAATTACAGCCATTAAAGTCATAAAAGTAAAAAACAAACACTCGTGCATGCGTATTTTTAAACACTGTAAGAGTAGATTCGAAGACACAGTCCTTGAATTCATGACTATTTCTCTCAAATATTTTATATGTTCAGTAAAAAGAAAAAAACACTTAATAGTAGAAAGAAAATCAGTCAGTCAGCGGGTCGAAGACAACAAAACTTCACGCAATAAATGCAGTCGTCATTTGGCTTGTCCAGCGAATACTACAAAAAGCACATACAGCACCATTCTAGAAAAGAAAAGGGAAATAACGACATGGGAAAAAGTCACTATCTGGCCACATCGGAGGACATGTTTCTCAAAAGGGTCTGCAGCATTTTGTTTGAGGCAATGGCAAGTATAGCAGCTGAAACGTCGTTAAAAATGTTTGGCACATAAAAGGAACGCATGCTTTCGCCATAGTGAGTTCTTACTCGAGAAGTTTGAAAACGCAGAGCAGATCTAAGTTCGCGAGATGGACTGGCCGAGACCTTAAACTCACTCTCTCAGAAGTGTCGCCAAATTACTGTTTGAAGAAAGAGTGAATCAAAACACGGTAACTTAAGTGAAGCAAACAAGCTCGCACTAGATGGCATGTGTGTGTTGTATGCTGAACTCTTCAGAATTCCCTTTAACGTACGATCAATTCTTGAGCGTCAAAAGAATGGACAGTTAAAAAATACGCTTATGCCATACCTTAGTGTATTATAGGCTAACGCGTGCATAATGCTTTTTCTAATTGACAAAGGTTGAAATGATTTGATATTGTAAAGCAGACATGAGACAGTTCTCAATCGTTGGCATATATATGACATATGAGAGATCCATGAGAGGTCACTGTCGAAGTGAAGGCCTAAATACTTTACGGTGTTAACATATTCAACAGGTGTACAGTTATAGCATGAGCAATTGGTGTTGTGGAGAAATAGCTGAGAAGTTAAGCTTACGTTTTTTAAAGGGCTATGAAAGCAGCCAAGCTTCGTTTTTGAAGCATTTACCCGAATCTTGTTGGCGAAAAACCAGTCCATTATTTTAGCGACATCGATCTGAAGCATTTCAATTGCACGCTCGTACACTAGGTGTCGAGAAAATATAAGGGTGTCATCGGCATATTGAAATATTTTGGATATAATAATATTAATAATAAT